ACGCCAGGCCCCAACTTGAGTAGTTTTAAATAAGACTACACCAACAGGGAAGTCTGATGCTCCCATTTTCCTACTCAACTCAAACGACTCATAGTAGGTTTATAGATTTGGTCTCTGTGTTCCAGAGCTTGCTGACTGAGAAATGAGCTCTTGGTTAAGATGCACAGGGGCTGTGCCCTGAGAAGCCAGTTTTTGAAGCACTAGGCTTCCAGTGCTAGAATTTTAACATGAATGTTATGTATTAGCCCTGTTTTAGCTCCACAAAACAAAATGTACAAAAGCCAGTTCACACTCTGGCTTTTTGCACAAGCAGAAATGCAAGTTTTAACACTGCTTGGCTAACAATTTCTACTTTTGTTCCTTATCAGTAAGTCAATACATAACTGATTGGACATTCTCCACAATTCTAGGTTTTACTCAAAGGAAAGTATGCCTGTTAATCTTCGTGAGAGTTACCAGCACTACCAATGCACTTTTGGAGAAGAAAAATGGCCAAGCTTTGACATTTTCCAGTTTGTTACCTGTTTAATTTCCCACCTGCCTTCTTTTGCCACTGCCTTGCAAAGGAACATCTGTGTATCTGAGAGAAAGGAAGGGCAATTGGATTGGTGCCACCTTAGGATTCAGAGTAAGGGAAGAGAAGGTGACTACCAAATGGTCCAGAACATGAAGGAGGGACAAACCACCTGTTAAGAGCAAAGTTGAGTTTCCCTTTATTCCAGAATCCATGTGATCCTGCAAGCTGGGAAGCAGCTTCTGCAAGCAGCAAGGGCCAGAGTCTGGGGGAAGCAGCTGGCAACTGAGGAGTGAGAAAAGCACTTCATGGATCTAGACCTTGCCTCTGGCACCTAGCTTTCCATGTGCCACTTTGTTTCTGACGTGCTCTGTACGTAGTCTCTTTGTGAAGGATCTGGCTCAACACGAAGAAGTCAACAAAGAAGCAATCTACTGCAGCACGAAATGGCCAACCCTGTATCCTAGGGAGAGATTAGGTATAGGAACACACAGAAGGGAGGGAAACAGGAGTCGTGTCGTGGGCCCCAGAGAGGAAAAATTGTTTGGAGAAAGCGCCCTGGGCTGAGCCTGGAAAAAAAAGCAGCCGTATCAGAAAATACGTTCTTGTTTCCCTTATCACCAAAGGGCAGCGTATAACAGCAAACCTTCGTAGTCCATTCAAAAATCATAATCCCCCAGATCTTTAGCTCCACTCTCCTCTCTTCGTCAACAGTTACATCATGCAGATGAACCAATGGTTGTGCCTGTTGTTAATTTTATTTTTCATGATACAGTTCTATTGGTCCAGAGATTTTCCCTTCCAACCTCCCCATTCTTCCTCTCCACAACCGGTTTCCCCAATGTTATAACACTAGCATAGTTGCTCAGCAACCATCACAAGTCCATCATCCTGCTCTTTAAGTGCATCGTGCCATCGCAGCTGTAGACAGTGGTAGAAAGCCCCACGTCCTATTGTCAAGGTGTATTTAGCAGTTTTATTGGCAGTCCATCTTTTATTCAGGAGTGGAGATGCATACTGCTATGTATGTTCAATTCTCGATATGCTGGTTTCTTAATGTTATCTGGCTAGTGGCAATAGTGCTAGCAGACTCTCATCAGAGGAATACAGTAGTAGAACAGGACAATTTCCTGTTTGCTGTGATGGGGCGCAATAATGAAAGAGCTAATTATCTGACACAATTTGCCTCAAATAACTGAAATTTTAAGATCTATCTGTGAGATTATAATAGCAAATGCAGTGATTTCTCAGGGTTAAAAATTTATCTGCAATTAAATATTGAATAAGTATCTACTCATTCAATATGCCATGAGGAATATAGGAGTTAATATTTAACCTCTGCATTTAAGAAGCTAAAATCTAACAGTAGCAATCAGTGTTTAAATTTGACCTAAAGTGTTAGGGAGTTGACAAAGAAAAAAAAAAAGAAAATCTCTTTGTAAAGTTCTAACATGACAAAAATGTAACATCCAAATGAGACAAGAGTCAAGCCAACACTATGTTTCATTGCTGAATAATGACACATGTTCTTTACTCCTTAAAGCTGCCTACCAATGGGTATTAAGCATATTATCATTTGTTTTTAATTAATCACAGTATATACTGAAATGCAAATAGAGTTTGCACAAACTTGGACTCTGTAATTATGTTTTTGTCTTCATTTTTATAATTTTATTTTGAAAGCATATGTAGATGAAATGGAAATAATGATATAGAAAGAATCAAATATTTTGTTCTATCACTGTGTTTTCTTTCCAACTCAAAACAAAGGTATCCTTGATTTAAAGAAGCACATGATGTGCTCTTCCATCTGACAACTCACTCCCCAAGTGAGTGCAATGGCCGGTACTGTGCCAATCCGAAGCCAGGAGCCAGGAACTTCCTCCAGGTCTCCCACACAGGTGCAAGGATCCCAAAGCATTGGGCCGTCCTCAACTGCTTTCCCAGGGCACAAGTAGGGAGCTGGATGGGAAATGGAGCTGCCGGGATTAGAACCAGTGCCCACATGGGATCCTGGCGCGTTCAAGGAGAGGACTTTAGCCGCTAGGCCATATGCTCTTAAAATTGTATGTATGCAGGGGGCCTGATGCGTTGGCCTAGCAGCTAAGGTCCTTGGTTCCAATGCACCAGAAGCCCATGTGGGCACCAATTCTAATCCTGGCAGCACCCCGCTTCCCTTCCAGCTCCCTGCTTGTGGCCTGGGAAAGCAGTTGAGGACGGCCCAAAGCTTTGGGACCCTGTACCCGTGCATGGGAGACCTGGAGGAAGTTCCTGGCTCCTGGCTTTGGATTGGCTCAGCACTGGCCATTGTGCTCACTTGGGGAGTAAATCATCGGACGGAAGATCTTTCTTACTGTCTCTCCTCCTCTCTGTATATTTTACTTTGCAATAAAAATAAATAAATCCTTTAAAAATAATTGTATATACGTAGTGCATGAGATCTCTCTCCTTTTTAATGTTTCAAAGAGATTGAAAATAATTTTGAAGGGCCAGTGTTGTGCATAACAGATTAATCCAGCAGCTGCCATCCCATATGGGTGCTGATTCCAATCCTAACTTCTCGGCTTCTGATCCTAGTCATGCATTTAGGAAAGCAGCAGAAGATGCTCAGGTGCTTGGGCGCCTGAAACCATGCGGAAGACCTTTGACCTGGTCCCGGTCCCGTCCTGACTGTTCCAAGGCATTTGGGGAGTGAGACAGCCAGTAAAAGACTCTTTCTCTATAAATCTGTCTTTCAAATAAATTTTAAGAATAATTCTGAAATTGTGCTGCCAATAAGTAGCAAATTTGTATGATCGTTATTGTATGCAATGTTTGTTTCGTAGTGATTTTCCAAAATAGAATTAAAATATTAGAATTTTTTGTTGTTTTAAATACGACTACTAAGTAGGGCGGATAAGAAAATGTCCTCTGTTGGCTGCTTGCAAAACCGACAAAAGAGACAAAACCGACAAAGAGACTGATGACTGAAGCTTTTCGCTATTGCAAATTAGGAAAGAATTTTTCAAATGATATTCATTTTTTTTTCTGTTAACAGGAACATTCTGAAGTAATTTAGATAAGGAAACCACAGTCCAATGTCGCCTGATTCAGAGTTGATAGATGCATACAGTATTTTTTAGTTGGAAGGTGTGCTTGATTGATAAATGAGAACTATAAAATATAAATATGAAAAATATAAGATATGAGAAATATAAGATATAAATGTATAGAATACATTTGCAAGCATTATCTTGTCACCATCGTTCCTTTCAGTTTTGTATCTCCAGCCAACAAATCATTTTGTTTAGAGTCAAAGGTGAGCAATTTTTCCCCTGGCTGAACCTGATTATAGCATTTCCACTCCAGACTCTCAAAACTCAGATTTAGGTAGCTGGTCCCATGAACTGAAGGAATGTATCTAAAAGCAGATCATCCCACATCAATCCGATTTCTTTTTTAGTTCTGTTTATGACTTGATTTTTTAGAGATTTTTAATATTTATTTGAATGGCAGGTGTCCTAGGAAGAAAGGCAGACACGTTTCTTCTGCTCGCTCACTCTCCACATGGCAACATGGCCAGAGCCGGGAACCTAGAACTCCATTATGGTTTCCCATATAGGTGCCAGGAGCCCAAGCATGTGAGCCATCTCTCTCTCTGCCTCTCAGGATGCACGCTGGCACAATGCTGGATAAAAAGCAGCGCAGCCAGAACTCGAAACACGTATCCACTTTGATATGTGGTTTCACAGAGTGGCGATTTAACCATTGTGCCAGATACCCTGAGACTTTCAAAAAACAAAAGCAACAGCTAGTACCATCCGTAGCTCATCTGTACACTCGGATCACTCTTGCAAGCCCAGTTATCAGTTTTGCAGCAATCTCTGTAGCAAACTGAGCTGGCGGAACAAGCAGTGTTTTGTGGCTGGTGCGTAATGGCAGAAGTTAACTGCTAATGAGCTGCAGGTAAAATTAGTGAAAGAGAGGTTTTCACAGATTGAGTAAACTTTAAATACTCCAAGCTTAACATTTTTGTGAATTTCAGAATAAGTACTCATAATTTCCTTTGATTTCAGCAAAATACATGTCAAGAATAATACATGCACCCAGAAGGAAGGAAGTAAAATTCAAAAATGTTGCTGCATTTTGTGGGTGATTGAGAATATATACAATGGCATGGTCACCACTTCAGTGAAACACAGGACAAATCTTAAGTTAGAGCTCAGCCTTTTCTTTCTGCAGACTCTATGCCTTACTTCTGCTCTCTTTTATTCATTTTCTACAATTGAAACAGGTGAGGAAGAGGTGAGGTTTCCAGTCACCTCAGTGATTCTTTCTATCAAGTTCCAGAAGGTGGTTAGAACTCTGTCCAAGCCATCACAGCCCAACGCATCTCTCCTCCCTTCCTCTACTCTTTCTCATGGATGAATCTGTGAATGATGGGTCCCTGGGGCAGAAACCTAATCTTTCCTGACAAAACTAATTGCATTTGTTTTGTTGCCTATAGGACTACCAAGAGGCCTCCAATTTGGAACAATTTGTAACTCGGTTTTTACTGAAGGAGACCATGAATCAGTTGCAATCTCTCCAGAATTCTTTGGAATGTGCTATGGAAACTACGGAAGAGCAAACTCGCCAAGAAAGGCAAAATATTTTCGTATAATGATTTTGTGTGTGTGTGTGACTCCATGTTGATGGAAAACCAGTTGAGGGACATTGTCCTTATATTAATGCAAACCAGAAATGAGATTCAGTGCACTTAAAAGAGAGTGATAGTGGCCTCCACTGGGTGCTTGTCTAATCATTTGCTTCTTGAAAGACCATTCTGTACTTCCTTTTACTGTCCTTCATCTATTCAGAAATTTTAATTAAGCAGTTCAAAGGATGGAAAGACTTTAAAAGACACTGTTAATGATATTAAGATACCTTTGTAATATGCTAGTTCTTAAGAATGCTAAACTTGAATTCATATGTAAAACAGAAACACTGAATCTATGCTGTAGAATATGGAGAGTAAAAGATTAGATATGGATAGAGGGATTAAAGTCCATTTTATACAGATAGTGACATTCAAATTTGCCTTGCAAATGTGTATAACTTGAAAATATAAAAATGATGAGGAAAGCCTTTCAAACTAATTGACCTTGAATATGTTAGAGGCCTGAGAATTCAGTAAGTCTAAATATTTGACAAAATGGAGAAAGGTGAGTGATAGGAAAGACACCATTGAGAAGATAAATGGCCATTTAAACAAAGAAAGTAACATCAAGGAGAAACCTGCCTTAGATATGTGTAAGGAAGATATCAAAGTAATGCCCACCAACAGTTGGTCCTTCCTGGAGTTGTTGTTTGCAGTGACAAGCTGGAAAAGGCTTTGGCGAAACTCTCCCTCCTATAGCGTATTTAGGCAGTTAATATTGGCTAAGGCACTTGAAACCCACAGATGGACCTTGTAAAGTTTCTGTATCATGTATTAGGGAAAGCCACTTTATTTGAGAACAGGCTGGTAAAAAGGACCCTGTAGGACCAAGTTTTCTAAATGAATACGTAATTATTAGGACATCGCTAAAACATAGTGGAATTCCCAACCATGTGTTATGCAATGTCTGAAAGGGTGAGCACCACCAAAATCTAACAAAAAAAGCCAGTCATTCGGAAACTAACAAGCTTGCATAGCTGCTAATCATGGACGAGGGCTCTTCAGTGGAGCTGAGCAGCCTTTTATACAATCTGACTTCCTCTTTTTCACTGCTTTGGGTAGCTCCATAGCAAATGATAAAGTGTTAGCAATCAGCTTTGGGAAAGCCACAGCCCAGCTCCTCAGCTCTGAGCAGAGGGTAATGGAATGTCTTGAAACACAATGAAATGGATTTCATGTGCCTAATGAGAAGAGGAGGCCCCATTTTGATGTTTCTTTTGTGAAGACTTTCTGGGAATAAAATGCCTCTCCCTTTTTAGAATCAGTAATTTACCACCTGAGAAGCTTGCAAAAGCGCTCTGCTCCCCTCCCTCCTGTGCACTCTCTTTTCCATGTAGTCATCTGCGAATGTGTGCTCTACATTTACTGCACTGAGCACCATGGCCGAACAACGGTTCTTTGTCTTAGGTCACGGGTTAGACTTCAAGGCTTGTGATTGCTGCCAACAGCTGCAGAACAGCTGTGCCTTGTGAGAAGGAGAATGTTAATATGGAATTCAAAGGAGGAGGATACATCAGAGGATTAGTGATGCTTTCCCGTGTAGGTTTCTAGCTCAGTGACAATTTGAAATAACTGGCACTGTATTTTTTAAATTAATTAATTAATGATTTAAATTGTATAATAGTTAATTAGGGTAAAAAGGCTCAAGGGCTATAGGAAAGTGGGTAAGACTATTAGTTCCATATTGTTTCAATAATGCTTCCTTCATGTTTAAAGGGGGGTATTAAGGGAGAAGGCCCACCCAATTGCCCACCCTCCCCAGGTCCCGGATGTAGGGTATGCTCTGAGGTTCTCGCTCAAGTGGTTTTGATATTTCAAAAGTTATGAATCGCTGCCAATCTTGACACTCCAAGCACTGTGAGGTCTTTGAAGAATCCACTGATTGACCTAATCCATCATAGAGTCTCTGTTTGCCCCCTATTTCGCTGCCAAGATATAGCTGAGATGGTTGGTTGACCTGTTCTGTCTTCTCTCTTTTCTTGGTTAGGGTTCTTGAGTCCAGCATTTTGATTGAGGAGACCTCCAAATAAACTTTGTCTGAGGTGTTCTCAGACCAGATTCTTGAATGTGCTAGCAAGTACAGGGCCCGGCACAGTCCATCGCCCCAATCAGCTGGTGGTTGCAATTGCTGGGTTGGTTCTGTTTTCCCTCACGACTTCCACTGGAACCCATGGGTGTTGCAGTCCAACCTGGTTCTGCCCAGCACATACTTGGCCCTCGCATGAACAAGTGGGAGCTGCAGCCTAGTTGGAGCGAGCCACAATAACCCCCACCAGGCCCGCCCCCTACCCTGGTTTGCCAGTATGTGTAGCAGTAGTCCAGTCTGTCCCACACCCCATTCCACCCCAGCCCCTGTCCTGGTTTTTGTGCTCTCCCATGGGAGTGGTAACCCAAGAGGGAGGAGCCCACTATTTCCTTCCCAGGCCTTTCCCACTTCCAGATTGTGCTCTCTCCAGGTAGTTTTGTGGTTTGACTTGACAGAACTAGCCCCCAGTGCCCGTTTCTGCCAGCTGATACTATGGCTAAGCCCAACCAACCCTCACCCACTCTAATTTTGTTGCACCAGTAGGAATAATCAGTTCATTCTGGCTTTTCCCCGATCTAGTCCACATGAGGTGTACAGGTACTGGCACTGTATTAACTCTGATGTCAGTTTCGGAAGTGCTGTTGCGGGATATTTTACTGAGAAATTATTGGATTGTCCAAATATCTGATACTACTACCCAGAGGTTTCTGGGGGAACAAAATTAGGTAGCCACAAGCAAATGGAAAACAAGGTCCCACGCGGGATTTACGCACATAATTTCCAATGTGATGATGCTGATGAACCAGCCTGAGGCACATGGATCAGGTCTCAACCTGGAGGAACTGTGTCTCCCCTTCCAGGACTACATGTTCCTATTGGCTGGTTTTCCAAAACAAAATGAGCAGAGTTGTCAGTAGTCAAGGCAAGACAGGAACATCTTTCCCTTTTCCACAATACCAATAAAGGCACCAGAGAGAAAAAACCCTTGGAGATACAAAATTGTATTGGATTTGAGTGGCAGAATGATATTCTGTGAAGGAATCAGTACCTTACCCTGTCCGCATCATTTATCTCTCATCTGGCTCTGCTTTGTTTGGTTGGTTGCTGATTGCACGGTCTTAGCTCTGGGCAGCCTTAACAGCTCTCAGAAGAGGATGTTCTACCTTCCACTTCACTGCCATGCACTCACATGGTACCTGGCGCTCCTATCTCATCTCCACTTCTCACTTGTTTGTCTTTCCTATTGGACTTTGACTTTTTAGATGACAGAGTTTGCATTCTTCTCCGTTACTTGGCATAACTACATATTAAACATATTTAACACTTAATTCTGAGTAAATGAAAGGTGATTCCAGGTAAGGGGAAGTCAACAGAGGAGCAGTAAGTGAGGACCTGGGATTTTGAAGAAATATTTGGACCAGCTTATGGGGTTATGAAAGATTTCAAAAACTGGACAGATGCACTCTCACTTCATTCTCCCCGATTTTCCTGATGCCTGTAACCCAGAGAAAGTGAGAATAAGGGTCAAGGAATTAGGAAAATCTACTCTATTGTAACAATAATGAGTGCATACTGTGTATTTAAGGAATAGAAGAAAAGGTTCAGCAAGAAGAGGGCAAATCACTGCAGCTAAAACTTCATCAGTTTACTTTCATAAAAGAAGACTTCGTGATGCCCTGCACAATCAAGTGGCTACCCACAGACTCAGTTCTAATAATTTACCCCTCCTTCAGCATCAACATTTTTTGTGAGATCTAATGTCTGTGAAAGCTGAAGATGCCATAACAAACTCAGAGAAATCATCTATTCCATCTGTCAACCTCAGGGCAAAATCCCACAGCATCATGCATCCTGTGGTAATGAGTTAGACATGCCATGTTGGGCAAAATGTTTGTGTCTGTTCATGCGCAACTGGCAATTTCAGAGAGATGAGATGTGTACAGCTGGAATGCCACAGAAGTGAGACTTTTTCAGATGACACTGTGGGTATTTGTGCTGGCAAACTGACTGGGAGCCACATTAATTCCATGTCTTTTGATAGGCTCTAATAACCAATGACAGTAATAATCATGATGCTATACTGAAGTTTCTCTCTAGAGGACCCCGTCCTCTTACATAAGCCTTTCCTCCTTGCAAAGTACAGTCTAAGAGCACGGTTTAATCGTATGTGGATTTCCTTTGTGTAAAGTCATCTGCAAGGTTTTATAACTAGTGATGTAGATGCTTTCTGGAGTTTGGGAATTATTTTTCTCTTGTTGATGGTTGTCTAGTACAGGAGTAAGGAAAAGTTTCAGTTTTGCCTGCAGCTAATTATACAAATCGAGACAGCTTAATTCCCTTAGCTTGAACATAGAGAAGGAATTCCCTAATCACCTGCTGATGTGACCACAGCTTTACTAAGCTATAGGAAGATATGATTAAAAATTTAAGATTGAGTATATGATTTATTTTGTTTCCTCCCTACACCATAAATAGTGACACTAAAAATACATTGGTAAAAGGAGGAATTAACCTAAAATTATAAAAAGGATAGAAGAGCCAAGGGAACTGAAACTTGGAACCTGGAAGCAAAATGCACGTGTTGGAAACTGAATAAAAACAGCTAAAGCTGAGATTTTCAGTTCAAGGTGCAAAGTGATTGCTGTCTCAAGAACTGACTGCCTGTAGCATTTGTGGCTGGCAGTGAAGGTGCAGGTGGGGTTGTCACAGGGTAACAAGCTCCATTCATTATTGTATACTGGCTGCCACTTCCCATTCCTTGAGTGATCTACAGGAGTGCCCCATGGGAAAAAGTGTACAGAGCCCTGCAGAAGAATAGGTGTACATCTAGGACCCAGGGACAATACTCAAAAGCAAAACGTTGACGTTCTGCAGACTAGACAGTAACTCTGACACCGCTTCACATACTCTGCTCCTAGACCATGAACAGCTAGATTCATCTTCTCCAGTTGGAAGGTGCTCCCTAGCAGGATCTAATTAGCCCAAGCAAAAGGACTCTACAAGTACTAATGCGTCACTTCCCCATGAAGTGACTGTACCATGCTACTCTACAGTGTAGGCTAAATGGACCATCTCACTACACACACACACATAGGGTTCTCTCAGCTTTGCATAGCTTCCCTCTGAAATGTGTAGAGAAAGCCCACAGAACAAATCAAGAAGGAGGAAATCAACATGGAACTAACAGTAATGACTAAGACAGCAGAAGAAAAGCTTCAAGATAAAATCCAAACTCTCAGAAAGCTAGAAGAAGATATTGTATCTGTGAACTGAGGACAGGATGCTGTTATAGCAAGAGTTCTTGATAATGACCAGTATGATTACATAAAAGAAGCTCTAAGAAAGGTTTAATTGTAGAAGCATGATGGAACTTTCTAAAAAAAAAAAAAAAAAGGAAAAATACAAATAAAACAATCCTAGGGGGTCGGACAAAAGGCCTGATTTTGGTAAAATAGCAATGCTCAGAAGAACAGAGAGAAAATTTTCAAAGGAATAATGAAAGCAAAAGTCTCAGAACAAGGGCATGAGTTTCTAGCTTGATAGCACAGGCCAACAGCCTATTGAAAGGAATAGTAAGTGTGCAATACCAAGGCCACAATGCACTTTTAGAATTTTGGAGAAAAAAGAGACTAAGTACTACCAGAGAGAAAAATCAGATTTTATGCAAAGAATCAAGAAAACACAAATTTCAGTAATGACTCTGGGGGCTGGAACACAATGGAGCAAGTCTTTGAAAATGATTTGTAACTTGGAATTCTTTACTCCTTAAAACCACCAATAAAGTAGGTTTTCAGACATGCAGTGTTTTAAGATTTTTATCTCCTCTCAAGCACTACTTCTTACTAAGCAAGTAGGAGGTATTTTTCCATCAAAGTGAAGGAACCAAGTAAGAGAGAAATGGAATCCTATTGGTTGAGGGTGGGTGGTAATTTAACGTAGAAGAAAGGCTAAAGCAACCTTCCCTGGATGATAATTTTGAAATATTTTTGGACTCATAAATTAGTATTAGGTTTGCTGCCTATAACAGAAAAAACTCACCGGGGCTTAAAGATACAGTGGCTTATTAACGCCTACTAACAAAAGTGGTGAGATTAGGGTAAAGCAATCGAAACATCTCTACAAATTTCTCATAGACCTTTTGCTCCTGTGACATTCTAATATGTAAGTCAGATTTGCCTCCAACACAGTTACTGTAGTTCCACCATTCTGTGTGCATTCTGACCGGCAAAAATAAGGAAAAACAAAGCAGTTACTTCCCAGATGAATTTTTTTCTGGGCAGTATTCCTGGAAGTTCCTTACAACATTTCTATGTCCATATCATTGGCCTGAGCTTTTCATTATGAAGTGATCTGATAAAGCCTAGAACTTGAAAAGGAAGGCAGTAATTCAAGCACATTATATACAAATATGATAGCTAAGAAACGTGCCTCTCTGAAGGGGAGTGAGAGCATGGGCTGTGGGTGAGAGGAAACATCTCTTTGTCAACGATGTGTTACACAATTGTTTGACTTTTAAATACATGAGTATATAGCTTTGATCCAGAAATACTAAAGGAAGGGGGGGAAGAATATCATTATGTTATATAAACAACATATTAAATCTGTTAAAAAGCAATTAAATGTTAAAAAAAAACACTGAAGTAAAAAATTGAAGAAAATTTACAGATGTCAAAATCAGCAAAATTTAGTACATGTGTGTGTATGTGTTTTATTTACGGTTTAGCCAGCAGGATAAAGTATTCTTAAATTAAAAGTTGAATGCAATTTTTATTCATAATTTTAAGAAAAATGAAACTCCAGAATTCTCTTGTTTCTTAGGTTTATAAAGTATGGTACCAATTGACCTTGGCCCTCTGGAGCGTGTTTGCAAGCAATAGTTTTCATCAGATTTGATTTCACTACACTAGGAAGTCTTTGTGACGCACACTTGCGTAAGAGACTGAAGCTCTGACACTGAGATCCAGTTTTGTCTCTGTTGTTCAAGGCAAGGGCCAACCAAGCCTGAAGTGCTATCCATTCAGTGGCCTGGAAAACGATCAAACCGCCGGGTCCAGAGGCACAACAGCTTTTCCCCGAACAGCCCTCAGTTCAATGTCACTGGTCCAGGTAATGCAGCTTTCCTTGGTTTTTCTTTCTTAAAGGCAATTCAGTTTGCATTTTCTTTTTAACCATTTTAACAAACTGCTACAACAACGACAGTAACGGAACAGTATACCTTATGCTTATTAGATTTGAGGTTGAAGAAGCAGGGTAATCCTTACCATTCGTTCCATCCAAATCCTGGGCTGTGTGGCCAGGTCGGACTTTTGCAAGCTTAGTTAAAGCCACCATTTGTGCATAGCCTGTTACCTTTCCATTGGCCAAGGGGGTCACATGCTAAGCTCCATCCCGAGGAGGAGGAAGAAGCGCGCCTCCCATTATCTGAGAAAGTACAGCAAAACTGTAGTTGAGAGGAAGAAGGTGAGGGACTTGGACCAACAGTACAGGCTGCCACATGGGCTAGGACATCAGCTATGGACCCCAGGAGAAAATATATTCTTCCCATTTTATCTGTTTAGAAATGGTTAGTGTGTATGTGAGGGCAACCTGGCTGCGACATCGGTCACCCCGTTGATCGCCAGGGTTGATTTGGCTGATCTGGTTGGCCAGGCGGGTGTCTCCTTCCTCGCTCACCGCTCCATGTGCGTCCCTCTGGAAGCTACACGCTCGGTCGAATAGGACGACCATCCCCGATAGAGGAGGACCAGTCTTCGGTCAAGGGTATACGAGTAGCTATGCTCCCCTGCTAGAACCTGCAAACAAGCTCTCAAGAAATGGTTAGTGTAAAAGAGCCTTCTCAAAACGGTGTGACAGCCATCTTAAATCCTTTTGGGGACAACCCACTTTGGAAGCATGTTAACTAATCTGTGAATTCAAAAAGTAAACATAAAGTGTGTTTACACATTTATATGTCTTCTTTCCTTCTCCTTCCCCTCCTTTTTGTTTGTTTTTATAGTAGCCACCATGTGGCAGTGCTAACACTCATTTTTGTATAGTTTATATGATGGACTTTGAGAGGTGCTTCTCCCTGAAAATTCTGACATGAGCACAACATTTTTTTTAAAGATTGGTTTGGTTTTGAACAGGCAGAATTAGAGACAGAGAAAAATCTTACATCCACTGGTTCACTTCCCAAAATGCTACAACAGTCAGTGCTGGGTCAAGCCATGACCAGGAAGTTCTTCCAGGCCTCACATATGGGAGACAGGAGCCCAGGGACTGGAACCATCTTCTGCTACTTCCCCAGGCACATTAGCAGAAAGCTGCATTGCAAGTGGAACTCCTGGGACTTGAACCATACCCATATGAGATGTGAATACTACAGGCTGTGACTTCACCTTTATGCTACAACTCTGATCCAGACCCCTAGTTTAGCTCTTCTTAAAGCCAAAGGACACGTTGAAGTTTTGAATTCAATCATGTCCCTGTTTCAAAAAATATTCAATGATTATTTCAGCAAAAAACCCATGGGAATATTTTAGGTAAACTACAGTTAAAATCTAGAAGGATGCCAGGGTATGTGTGCCATTATAACTTCACATAATAGTATGAATTCCAAAGGTGATAACAACAGCAGAACTTTTGTTTTTAAAAAGATTATTTTATTTTTATTGGAAAGTCAGATTTACAGAGAGAAGCAGAAACAGGAAGATCTTCCATCTGCTGGTTCACTCCCCAAGAGGGCATAACAGCTGGAGCTGAATGGATCCAAAGCCAGGAACCAGGAGCTTCTTCCAGGTCTCCCATGCAGGTGTAGGGTCCCAAGGCTTTGAACCATCTAATGCTGCTTTCCCAGGCCACAAGTAGGGAGCTGGATGGGAAGTAGAACATCCAGGATACCAACCAGCACCCATGTGGGATCCCAGTGCATGGAAGGCGAGAACTTTAACTGCTAAGTTACCGCATCAGACATGAGAACTTTCAAAATGTTTAACCCATAACCTGTTGTTGGATACATAAATGTTAGATATGTAAACATATTTAGCACATATGTGTGCTATATTAATGCACCCATGCAAAAATTATCACAAACACGTGCATACCACATATATGCATATATTTAAATGTCTCATATATATGAATATTGACCAACAGGTTGCAGTCTGAATACTGACTGCTGAACCATGGTTAGTAAGTCAGGTTAGTGCCGAGGAAGGAAGACACCAGCTCTCGTTTATGCTTCTTTTGGAAGGTAGCAGTTTATGCTTTGCTGTGATCAGGAATGTGATTTCACTGCCTCTGCCCTGCAAGTTTAGAACAATTAATTGAGGTCCTCTCATTTCAGAATAAACTCAACTACCCTCTCAGTGAAATAGGCTCAACAGGATCTGTTCTCGACTCTCCAAGGCCAGGATAGGCAGCAGCATAAAAGGCAGACCTCTGGAAGTAAACCCACTGGGAGACAAGGATCTGTAGCAATCAGTATGTTGGAAAGCACTCCTGTAAACATATTTTGCAAAATGTGTTCATGAGCCAGCGACACTGTGTTCTTCCTTCAGAACCAAAGGAGGTCTGATATAACTGAACACTGCCCACCGCATCCTCTGCATGACGTGTTGCTCTTGTGGTTTCCTCCAGGCTTATCAGAAGAAGACAATCAGTGGATGACCCAGATAAACAGACTCCAGAAATTAATTGATCGACTGGAAAAGAAGGTGAGTGTTTCTACTCCATGTTCTCTCACCTACGTTGCTGGATCTCCTGACCCAATGCTACTCAATGCTTCAGCCCCAGTATATGCCCTGTGAGTAGAGTACCTAGGATAGCAGTGCTTCTGGGGATGCTTGCTTAGTAGTTACTTGGCTTTTGTTGTTGTTAAAGCAGATACAGTGTTTCCGCAATTCTTCTCATCCTCCAGCTCCAGAGAAAACTCAATCTTCTTGAAAGAAAATAGTTTTCAGAATAGGTTGCACAGCAGACCCAATGGCATGATCTATGTAGGAGATATATCCAAAAGAAAATATTTGGAAAGGTTGAGAATTAAATGTATACCAGGGAAATATAAGCAAAAAGAAAGTTGGTGTGGATAGATTAGTATCACAGAATATGGAGTTCAAAAATCACAATGAGGAAAGAAGGATATATATCATGTGAGGTGATTAAGTCAAATATAGATAGATGATGGATAGATGGATAGATAGATAGATATGCCAGATAATGTTGCAACCACATTTTTATTGTGTGTGTCTTTGTATAGATAGCTTCAAATTTAACTTCCATATATTTACATTTCATATATTATGGAAAACATGTGATATTTGTCATTCTATATCTGCCATGATAACCTTCATTTGCATCTATTTTGTCACAAATGTCACCATTTCTTATACTTTCATGGCTGAGCAATATTCCATTGTGTATTTAAGCCACATTTTCATTATCCATTATTCCATTGCTAGACAGATAGGTTGATTCCATGCATTTGCCATTATGGACAGTGCTGCGGTAAACACTGGAATGCACACAGCCTTTCTTTGATGTGATGACTTCATTTCCTTCGGATGTCTGCTCAGCAGACATAGATCTACTTTCAGGTTTTTAAGAACCTCCATGGTTTTCCATAATGACTGTGCTAATATTAAAATACTATACTAATTTTCATTCTCCCCTTTCTTAATACCTTGCCAGTATTTTGTCTTTTTTATAACAGCATTTCTTAAATATATATTTATATGCATATTTAACATATATTTATTTCTTTGAAAATCAGAGTTAGCAGGAGAGTGAGAGAGTAACTCACTGGATTACTCCCCAGATGGCTGCAATGGCCAGTGCTGAGCCAGGCGAAAGCCAAGAGTTTCATCCAAGTCTCCCGTGTGGATTCAAGAGCCCAAACACTTGAGCCACTCTCTACTACATTTCCCAGGCTATGAGCAGGGAGCTGAATCAAAAGTGGAGCAACAGGGACTTGAACCAGTGCCCATGTGGGATGCTGGCTTTGACAGAAGCAGCTTTCTCCACTACACCACATTGCTAGCCCCCGTAAAGGTCTTTCTAACTGTGATAAATTGATACTTGATCATGATTTTCACTTGCATCTCCTTGACAACTAGTCATACTAAGTATTTTTTCATGCCTTTGTTGACATGTGTATCTTTAAAAAAGATTTATTTCTATTGAAAAGGCAGATGTACAGAGAGAAGGAGATAATGAGAAAGATATTCTGTCCATCTCTCCTCTGGTTCACTCCCCAAGTGGCCACAACTGCCAGGGCTAAGCCAATTTGAAGCCAGGAGCCGGTAGTCCCATCTGGTCAGCTAACAGGTGCAGGGTCTCAAGGACTGGGACCATTCTCTACTACTTTTCTAGGCCACAGGCAGGGAGCTGAGTTGGAAGTGGAGCAGCCAGGACATGAACCGGTGCCCATATGGGATTTCAATGCATGCAAAGCAAGGATTTAGCCACTAAACTATCATGCTGGGCCCAACATAGGTACTTTTTCTTTTGAAATTTTTCCAATCAGTCTTTTGCCTATTTGTAAACTGATTGTTTTGCGGTTGAATTATTTTAGTTGCCTATTTTTCTGTATTTTAATCCTTCATCAGATACATAATTTGCAAATAATGTCTTGTTTACTCTCAGTTGTCTCTTCAATCTGTTGTTTCCTTTGCTCTGCAAATAGATTTTTAGTTGATAAAATCCCATTTATTTATTTTTGCTTATTTGCCTGTGTGTTGCCTGTGCTAATGTATTGGACTATTTCTTCCTATATTCACCACTAATCATTTCATAATTTTAGATCCTATGTACAGATCATTGATATAATTTGATTGGTTTTTATATAAGGTGAAAGGTATATGCATGTTTGTTCTAACTTCTCCATGTGGAAATCTAGTTTTCTCAGCACCAATTACTGAAGAAGCAACCTTTCTCAAATTAGTATTATTTAGCACCTTGGCCAAAGATAAACTACTTGTAGATATGTGGATTTATTTTTGAAGCTTTTATTCCATTCCATTAGTCAATGTGCCTATTGCTTAAAATGATATATTTACTTATTTCGAAAGTCAGAGTTACAGAGTGGGGGAGAGACAGAAAGAAGTTTGTTATTAGTCTGCTGCTTCACTCCTTCAATGGCCTCAGTATCCAGCAATGGGAACTACCAGAGCCAGGAGCTTCATCTTGGTCTCCCCCGTGGGTGACAGGGGCCCAAATACCTTGGGCCACCCTTTAGTGTTTGTTCCAGGCCACTAGCAGAGAGCTGGATTTGAACTGGAGCACTATTGTGAGTGACCTTCAAATGGGACTTGGGTGTTGCAGGTGTGGCATTATCCACTTTGCCACAACACCAGGCCCAATGTGCCTGTTTTTCTGACTGTACCAATTATTATTTTTTTTATGATACAGTTCTTAGGCTCACTGATTTCCCCTTCCATCCTCCCCATCTCGCCTTATCCCCACTGTATTTTCCAATATTGTAACAATAGTACAGTCATTCAATAACAGTCACAAGTCCATCATTCTGCTATTTAAGTTCATCATGACATTGTAAGTATAGACAATGATATAAGATCCAGCATCCTACTGAGAAGATATATAGAAAACTGTATAATGGAGGCAAGTATACCATGAAGATACATTCTAGTGTGTATCTCTACTTCTCAATAAAAGATGGACTCCCAATGAAACTGTTGAATATATCTTGACAATAATACAAATTATTTTTTAAATAAATACTCGTTCAAATACTGCCTGCTTTGCTTCCAATTTGGTTCTCTGTTAACTCACCTGGAAGGGAAGGGAAGATGACCCAAGTACTCAGGTCCCTGCAACCAATGAGGAAGACCTGAAGTGGCATTCCAGACTCCTGGCTTCAGCCTGACCCAGCCACAGCCTGTAAATTAAATAGGGAATGAACCAGTGGATGGAGATTTCTGTTTCTCCTTTTCATTTCCTAACACTGCTTTTTTATTATTACTATTATCATTGATTACGTTGCATTATGTGACACAGTTTTGTAGGTACTGGGATTCTCCCCACCCATCCCCAAACCCTCCCCTCATGGTAGATTCTTCCACCTTGTTGAGATTCTTTCATTGCAACCATTTACCAAGCATAAAGTCCAGCATCTTATTGTCTAGATAAGTTCAATGGTTTCTTGGGGAGACCATTTCTGGTCCAAAGGTAGAGCCGGCAGAGTATCATCCCAATCAATTAAAAGCCCCAACATAACATCAGTAACAATTTATAATGTTATGAAATTAATTGACATGGTATTGAGTAACCCATATGTTAAAAGAAAAAAAAAGAATGCAAGTTCTGAACCACATCCTATGACTTCTTCATTGACATTTCAATTATTAGTTTATATACAACCAGGTTCTATACACCTCAAAATGACTATTGATTACTATTCAGCTGTCTCGGGTCTATTTTAATTTTAGTATTTAGCAGTTTATAGTGTAGAAGCATGATTTAGCTGAACCTGGCTGTTTTTCGGGTAGTCTAACTCTATAAGTCTAATAAGACATATGTCAACAGTTTAGGTGCAGAACAGTTTTAGGAGGGGTGTGCAGAGAAATCCTCAACACCCTAGTGAGGAGTAACTGATCTTTGTGTCCCACCCAATGAGGTGTAAGTGCATCCATGCTGACCGTTTCCTGTCTGGTTCTAAGCTTTTCTTGTTGTTCTCTATCTGTTCTAGATTTTTTGTTTGTTTGTTTCTTTTGAGCGGTTTCTGGAGCGATCTTGATGGTCATTGCGAGAGAGGGTGGGAATCCTCCTTTTCATTTCCTAACACTGCTTTTTAAATAGATGAATTTATTTTTATTGAACAGGAAGATTTTACAGAGCGAAAATTCTTCCATCCACTGGTTCACTCCCCAATTGGCCACAATGGCCAGCGCTAAGCCAATCCAATGCCAGGATCCAGAAACTTCCTACTGGTCTCCCCCATGGGTGCAGGGTCATAAGACTTTGGCAGTCCTCCACTGTTTCCCACACCACAAGCACAGAGCTGGACAGGAAACAGAGCAGCCAGGACATGAAACAGTGCCCGTATAGGATGCTGGCTTTTGCAAGAAGAGGATTAGCCAATTGAGCCATCTCTGATCAATCTTTTTTAATAAGGAGGTGGTGTTGAGAATCTTAGGATCTTCACATGACACTTGTGACACGTCACCAGAACAACACAGGTGGCAGCTGTGAAACAACCTGGTTGAAGTATTGGGAATCTTTCAAATCAGTTCAGGAAAATGGCTGTGCTGTCTCCTAAAAGCTGAGCTTTCATACTCATTCCACAGTCCACTTCTGTAACTTAGCATAAAAGTTGATGATTTGGGCATTAAAACTACTCAGTGAGCAAGCAATTTAGAATGTGACAGAGTTGTTTTGAACTGTGTTTTGTGTGTTGCTAGTCATTGCATTCATATTGATTAATTCTGTGTATCAAATCTGCATACCTCTTTACTCCAATCATATTTTATTGAACTAGAGCATCTTTCATGATAGAGACAGCTTTGATCAATCAGTAAGATGTGTGGTGCATGCCTGCTTGTGTTTATGGCAGTCACTGACCTTGAGAAATCCTTAGGGTACTTGTAAAAATCAGCTATACTATAGTCTTAAAGAGAGAGTGTGTCATTGACCTATAAGATTGCTCTTTAAAAAAAAAAATATGTGGTTATGTAGACTTGGATTTGTAGTTAATGTTCACAGCAGACTCACTGCCTGCCTGAGAATTTTCCAAAACAAAAGGAGCAGACATTACAATCTATAGATGCTCACCTACTGTGGGTTAGACTGCTTGGGAAGGTTCTTATGTGCAGGAATGGTTTAAGCTGGAACATAAAATTTCAAGGGGCCAGCGTCGTGGCATATAGGCTAAGCCACCACCTGCCAAACTGGAATCCTCTGTGGGTACCAACTTGAGTCCCGGCTGCTCCACTTCTGAACCAGTTCCCTTCTAAGGTGCCTTGGAAGGCAGCAAAGGATGGCCAGTATCCATGTGGACAACCCAGAGGAAGCTCCTGACTTTAGCTTGGCTCAGTCACAGCTGTTTTGGCCATTTGGAGAGTGAACCAGCACATGGAAGACTATGGTGCAGGTCAATATTCCTCCCGCTTTATGTCTCTAATAAATAAGTGAACTGAGACTAAGACAATACATGGCTATGAAAGTGTTTTTAATTATGGAAGAATTGGAAATGCAGCATCCCTATTGTAAAACTCAACTTCATTAAAACATAAGGCTTCAGCTGTTAAATACGTTTGGAATCATTTAAAAACCACAAAATACCTCCTCTTTTTAAAGTGACTTTAAAGTTCTCAACAAAATGACCTTTATTTGGCATCTGAAATTTCATAGTTATTTTTGAAAGAGTAGCTCAAACTTAGGTCATAGTGTTTTTTTTTTATTTTTCAACTTTAAATTGTGTCATGCCCCTTTCTTTCCTGGTCTCTTTTCTCCCTCTCTTCTTTGAAAGCATTTCATTCTGAGCACAGTGTCTGAGAGGTTTGCTGAAAAGTGTGATTCTTTTCAGCAGGTACTTCCAGCTGTGTGGAGCTCAGCATGAGCTGTCTTAATGGATGCCGAAGCAGAGCAAATCCAGTTTTTCTTTACACCTTATTCTGTACTGTGCTGAAATCGATGCTTAGAGGGAAAGTTGCCTAATTCCAAAGAGCGGCTAAGGAAGTGCCATTTCAGTCCCGACTGTCTTGTCTCCTGCAGTTGTTAACAGTAGGGTTGATCTCTCTGTTAAACGAAAGTGTACCTACAGTGGAACATATGTTCTCTTTTCTCTCCATGCAGTATTTATGATGCACTGTAAACCAACCGTTATTCCTTTCTTAGGGGGGAAAGAGAGGGATGGAAGAACTCACACTCCAAATTCCCACAAGTTTTGGCAGATGATCCTTCCGTCCACTCCCTTCTCCAGGAGTACTTATGGCAATACATGGTGGTTACATTTTATATTTTAGTTGAGCTGTGCAGAGATCACCTTTAATGTTAAGAAAACAGCAGGAAATAATTGTAAGACTGCTTCAGTCTTCATTGAGTCCTAAGTATATGATCAGATTACAGGGCTCCTTCAACTAAAAGGGAGTCATTAGAGTTATCACATTCACATGATTTGTACATTTTTTCTTAACTTCATACAGAGAAGGAAAAATTCAAGAGTATACTGGGATAGCTGTCAGGATGATAGCAGCGTTGGAAATTATTGTTACATATTTGATCTGTAGAATGCTTGTACTTTTCAATGCACATGTACAGTTTTTATGTAATCGTGTGTTCCTGGATGAGTTGCAAGGTAGAGTGGACATTCTTTCGGCCACTTGTTTATTTCATATTTGTTAAGTATCTCTCAAGCGTCAGGTCCAGTTCTGACAGTGGCACTAGAACAGTGATTTAAACAGGTCAAATCCTCTCTGGACAGGCAGATAAATTGTGAACAAATCTATGACCCAAAATATGAAGAATGAGTGGGGTGATGCGACAGAGCTGGAGGAGTGGACTGTTCCAAGTGGGGGTGGGGGAGGGTCACTCCAGGGACGTTATACGTGAGCTGAGATATGAAAGATCAAAGAAGGCCGACACCATGAAGACCTGGGGCTAGAGGATGTACAGCAACTAGGGAAAGGGGCTCCTGGAAAAGTTAAACTCCTTGCTAAAATTGCCACCACGAGAGAACAGCATAACTAAAGCAACATAACTCATTTATGAACAGGATGATGTCATTTCAGACAATCTGGATTTCTGGATAACTTCCATGTTATTTCTTATCTTTTCAAAGGAATTATGTCTCAGCTTCCTTTGGAAGTCATGGCAGGATATATAAACACACTCAGGGAATGAAGCCCTTGGGGATTCTATGCTTGAGGAGACATTAGCATTACCCGAGGGCTGTCGTGAAAGGCCCCAATCAGGCATTACAGGAGTCCTCATGTTAATGATCATCAGTAGGATTTTCACTTATTTTTCAAATTCTCTTTCCTTTTAGTAAAACCAAATTAATATAATTGTGTAAATGCATCATAGCTATTAGCTCATATCTGTAAGAACTTTCCAGGAAATGTGGAAATGTGCAGCATCCCTAGCAAAAGAAATCAGCCTGATCAGCCCGGTATTCTCACTGTTTGTACTTTTTTTTATATACCTCCCTACTCTCCCTGTTCAACAGCCTCTCTTCTCTACTTTGTTCTCTAGTCGCTTCAATGAAGCAAACTTGAGGCAAAAACAAATTTAATACATCTGAAATGATCTCTTTAAAATGATAAATGTAAACAAAGAATCTATGTTGGAAAAACTCAACAATTAAAAACTCAGAATTCTGTCACTTCCTTCTAAATAATAAGGCTATCTTGGTCCAGCATTGCTGTAAGAAAACTGCCATTTGAAGATGAGGCTTATTTTTGTCACTTAATTTCTGTGTTTTTTTTTTCTCTACCATTTCTTTCTCCCACTAAAGGACCTCAAACTTGAACCACTGGATGAAGAAGTCATCGAAGGGAACACTAAATCTGTAAGTCCTTTTTCCAGATCAAAATTTTAAAAATACGTATTTGGGAATCATAACTGAATTTCATAAAATGTTACTATCTCAGTGAAACACATAACAGTAATAAGTTGACATTTGTCACGTTCCGTGGTAAGTCAGATTTTCTAAACAGAGATTTGTGCAAGTGTGATATTTCACATGGAGGGCTTTTTTTTTTTTTTGAAAGCATCTTATATGTGATAAGCTCAAAATTAAAATGTTATAGCATACATTTGTAAATCAAAAAGCTATTGGATAATAGACTCAAAACTGGCAAAGTGAACAACCTTCAAGTTGTATCATGAGCACATTTTATAAATCCTGGCAGGTTGAGAACTGTATCTAATGGAGCTGAAGCCTGCCTGTATTCAATGTTCTATTTCCAGCATTTAGGAAACATGAAATGTACCTCAGGGCTAGGGGCAAATTGTTGATGATCAGAAGTAATGTCTAAAAACTACAGCTCGCGTCTCAGGACGGGGCTTCTCACACCTGGATCCCACACACCAGCCACCATGTGCATGTGGTGAACTGTCCCGGGCGGCTAGTGCACCATTTGGTGCCAGGCTCCACCTGCTGGCCACCTGGCCGGGAAGCTCTGGGGTTTTGGTTCTTTGAATTGCTACTTAGGTAGCTCCAGGATGAACCCATTGTGCTTCTAGGACATGAAGCAATTATAAAGGTTCCCAATGACAGTAACTCTTCCCTTGAAAAACTTGTAATTACTGAACAATGCTGACCACCAAATACCAGTCCATGCAAAGGCTATGGCTCAGGGCTTGACCAGCAGAATCATATCCTGTTACCTGACATGATGATGGATCAGGAGAAGGGTCACTGTAAGCAGGGCCATTACATTAATTAGCACTCAAGAACTATAACTGGGGGTAGATTCTGTGAGGGATATGTGGGCCAAACCCTGTGGGAAATTCTAGCCCCACTGGTTAGCTCAAGAGTTGGGGTGGTGATGAACTAAGATAGGTTTGACCAAGGAGCCTGCCATCAATCACAGGTAAAGGAACCCCAACAGTCTGGACTGGTCAGGGCAGCAGCACCCAAATGTGCATCCTGAATAGGATGTGGGGTGGGCCGGGCTGCAACGTTCACCAGCTCATACAAGACCAAATGGAAGGCCAGACTTCGCCGGAACCTGGCCTAAACCCAATGGCATGTATGAGAACTGCGTCTGGGAGTGGATTAAATGGAGGAACTTGAGAAACTCCCTTGGTGAATCATAGCTCCCACTGGTGAACATGTGGTCCAGACCTGGGGGTCGGACAAGCTGGGCAAAATAACTCCAACAGCTGGCAAAGGTGTCAATTGGTAATGGAACAGGGTGGACCGGGCAGGACTGAACAAACCTTAGCCCACAAGCAAAATTAGAGACCAGGAGGGAGCACAGGTCATGCCGAGCTAGGCTCTTCCACCTACTGGTCTGCATGAACCAGGAACACTAAGCCACAGTGTCTTAGGCAGAGGTTGGGACAGGTGTGTGGCTGAGCCAAGCTGAGTCAGAGCAACCACTGGCATGCATGTGATCAGTGGCCGGGAACAGGCCTGGTTGGGGAGTGAAGGGGACAACCCTGGCTGGATTGAGGCTCCCACAAAGGGGAGCGTGTGACCTGGAATGGGGGCTGCATTCTGACCGGGAAACGGTTGTAGTCTCCCTTGGCACAAATGTGGACTGGGATTGAATGCACCAAGCCAGGCCAGATTCCAACCCTCTGGTGTCCTGGAGGACCAGGGCAGATGTAGGATGGACTAGGCAAGGTCTCAACCCCTACTGAGCCATATGTGAGCCATATGTGGGTATGGACGAGCCATGGCTGGGCTGAAACACCCAACGGCAAGAACCAGTTTGGGTTGAAGGCCAGTCAGGAAAAGCCACTGTTCCTGCTATGACAGGAGGTGAACTGAGTAGGGTTGGCTCATGGACCCACTGGTATCTGCAAAATCTGGCATTGGGAGATGTTCTGATGCAGGAGCCTGGGCAATTCCTCTGGCAGGACACAGTCCTGGCAGGTAAGCACAAGAAACATGATAGGAAACAGCCCAGAACAGCCCATGGAAAGTTACCCACTTACATAAATTTGGCATGGGTCGGGGGAAGACCAGGCTGAATCTGTTCACATCATCCACTGGCAAATCCAAGCACCAGACCAGTGTGGGTCGAGCCTGGTTTGGTCGCGACAAAGACCAGTGCACAATATGGAATGCCAGGGTGAGTTTGCCTGTCCCAGATGTGACTGCAGCACCCAATCAGCACCCATGAGAACCAGAAAGGGAGGGGGTGGAGCTGGCAGGGGGAATAAGGAGTGTTTCCTTTGCTGGACAGCTACTCCCAGTGGAGAGCATGAGCTGGGTAGGGGGTAGACCAGACTAAGCAGGGCTACAACACCTGTATGCCTCATGTGGACTAGATCAGGGAAAAGCCAGGCTGAACTGATTATTCCTAATGGTGCAAACAAAATTAGAGTGGTTGAGGGTTGGTTGGGCTTAGCCATAGCATCAGCTGGCAGAAGCTGGTACTGGGGGCTAGTTCTTTCAAGTGGAACCACAAAGCTACCTGGAGAGAGCAAAATCCACGAGTGGGAGAGGCCTGGGAGGGAAATAGTGGGCTCCTCCCTCTTGGGTTACCACTCCCACGGGAGAGCACGAAAACCAGGACAGGGGCTGGGGTGGAATGGGGTGTGGGACAGACTGGACTACTGCTACACATACTGGCAAACCAGGGTAGGGGGCGGGCCTGGTGGGGGTTAATGTGGTTCGCTCCAACTAGGCTGCAGCTCCCACTTGTTCATGCGAGGGCCAAGTATGCGCTGGGCAGAACCAGGCTGGACTGCAACACCCATGGGTTCCAGTGGAAGTCGTAAGGGAAAACAGAACCAACCCAGCGATCGCAACCACCAGTTGACCAGGGCCATGGACTGTGCTGGGCCCTGTACTTGCTAGTACATTCAAGAATCTGGTCTGAGAACACCTCAGACAAAGTTTCTTTGGAGATCTCCCCAATCAAAATGCTGGACTCAAGAACCCTAACCAAGAAAAGAGAGAAGACAGAACAGGTCAATCAACCATCTCAGTTATATGTTGGCAGGGAAATACTGGGTAAACAGAGACTCTATGATGGATTAGGTCAATCAGTGGATTCATCAAAGACCTCACAGTGCTTGGAGTGTCAAGATTGGCAGCGATTCATAACTTTTGAAATATCAAAACCACTTGAGCAAGAACCTCAGAGCATACCCTACATCCGGGACCTGGAGAGGGTGGGCAATTGGGTGGGCCTTCTCCCTTAATACCCCCCTTTAAACATGAAGGAAACAATATTGAAACAATATGGAACTAATAGTCTTACCCACTTTCCTATAGCCCTTGAGCCTTTTTACCGTGATTAACTATGTAAAGATTGTCAAAAATATAATATTTAAAACTAGAGCTGTTTAGAAAAGAAAAAGATGAACATTTATTTTCTTAATGAAAAGCTGGACATCTAGAGTGGTGACAGTTTGTGGAACTTGAAAGTAAATGGACAAAATTATCCTAATAAGAGAGTGGGATGAGCCAAACTAAATGGATCAGTAAATTAACTGATTGAAAGCAACACACACCAAGTTTTAATATTGTACTTTATCTTGAACAAATGTTTACAGCACATTTGAATTTCAGATGTTAGGTCTTTGTGTTGACATTTAATGGTGACTGGATTTTAAAAGCTTGGGTAATTGTAGAAAATCACACTTATCTCACAACCTTAGATAAGTTACTTAAATGTATTAGGTAATTGATGAATATTTTATTTTATTAATGTAGAGTGGATTTAATGGGCTTCATAGATACAATTCCAGAAAGATAAATGCACTTCACTACTCTATTCTCCCTCTCCCAATCCCCTTCCTTCTCCTCCCTTCTTTTCTTCTCTTTAAATTTTGCAGATATAATTTTGATCCACTTTATAATCACAGGCTTCATTCTCCATTAATGTTCAAGAGTTAATTTACAGCTGGATTGGAGAAAGAAGCTCCAGTATTTTGTTGGACAGTTTGATAACTAGATAATGACAATACTCCATGTTTTCCCAATGGCCTTTACACTTGATCTTGAAATGCTCAAGGTTGCTTTCCTTATCTTTTTTCCTTTTATTTTCACATTCAAAAGACATTGAATACAGGATAGAAGGTGAGACCATAGCTGTGTGTTAAGGCTCCGCCCCCTGTCCAAATTGATACCACAAAAGGGTCTAAAGAGGATCCTTGGGGGTCTCTACTAAGCTTGATAATGTTAGCTTTTAGTAGAATCTTACAGATACGCTTACTTTCCCGTGATATATGCCATTTTTCACCACACGTGTTTAATTTCTCCAGAGATGGGTATGTGGAATATATTAACTTGTCAGAAACCCAGAATTTGAAAGTTACAGCCTGTAGGGGGAGGGTTTGAGGAAGGGAGTTTTGAATGCAAATCCCAGGAATGCTGATTTTGAGCAGTCCCAGGGCAGAGAAATTGTTAACTCTGTATCATCTCATATCTTGACATGGAAGACTACACTCCAGGTCAAGAAAAATGAACATCACTTTTCTAAGATTATGAGAGATGATGGTTTATCCTTTTGTAACTTTCTAGGGTGAGACTTTCTTTCTGTAGCCATGAAAGATAAAATTATCTAAGGACTGTTTATGAGAAGTAGCAGTTATTCCATTTGGTGGTGCCCTGTGAAGAGAGAGAAAGACGGAGAGAAATCAACTTCAGTTTTTCAAAGATTAACACGTAACACCATGACTAATTTAGTAGTGCAAACAGATATTTACAGAAAACTAAGACTGGGCAAAGCAGTTCAGGTGTCAATATCGATCAAGAGCAATAAAAAGATTTCTTAAATTGTTTTCAACTTCTTTTTTAATATTTAAAGATAATTTAATTATTTTTACAAAAAACTTTATTATACATAAATAAAATACAGAACGGAGGAAATGAACTCCCCAGGA